CAGAGGTAGGAGGAACTGGTAAGGCCTCACCGACAGATGGCAGGTGAGTGGACAAGGCAGAGACATGGAGGGGTCTGGAAGGGGTTGCTGTTGACCGAGCTGGGGGGAAAGTGTTAAATTTAGGTGTGATTCTTAGTTCCAGGGCCTGGGGGACTCCTGCGAGGAGATGCAGAGCAGCCTGGTAGACACATGAATCTGGCTTTCAGCAGCTAGAGAGGGGCACTGGGGAGTCTTAAACTTAGTTTGTAAAAACGCTGTCCACAATAGACAAAGAGCCCATGGGGAAATGAGCCTCCCGCCACAATGTCATCAGGTGGAATATTTACCTTCCTGGTTAAAAACAATAGTAAGTTACTGCGTTCGCCCATGAGGTTTTGCTTCTAGGGGAAAGAAAAGTTAGAGGCAGTGCTGTTCCATTTTCCACCAACGAGTTCATAATACTTAAGGTCTCTCCCAGAAAGTCACCTCTTGGCACCTATAGCTGTTGGGGCCAAAGGTAACAAATTCTTCTTGTTGAAATGACCATTACAGAAGCCCAGAATAGGCATTTCCCATATGTGGGATTCCCATTCATCAGATCTCCCATTATTCAGAAAATCTTGGGCAAAGGGTGACAGACGTCTTAGGAGCTCTTCAGGCTGAATACATAGGCTCTGTCCCGCTAGGTCAGCACCACCTAAGGCAAGGATATGACTTCCCACAGCTTGGTGCAGGCAGCACCAGAGGGCGCTTGAGCAAGATTACTATTATGATTATAAATTATATAAATTACATACCTCCTGTAGGCAGCCATATATCTAATTTGAGGATCATTCTATAGCTGCTTTTGTGACCCAAACAGTCCATTCAGAACTGTCTAACATATCCATAGGGCTGCAGGGGATGGGAGGCACTGGGTAGTAATGAAAATTCCAGCATAAAAAGAATACACTATGTAGGATGCAACAGCAAAGCCCGACTTGAGGGGAGTTTCATCTCTACATACACCAGTAGTCATCATATTGACCTCCTACTGACCCCGCCTTGCAACTATAACCTGCCAGCCTTGGGAGATTTTGCTCACGTGTGGCCCTTATCTCCTTGAGACATTGTTGATGGTTACTGTACGACTTAATGTCTCGAGTCGGCGACCTTTCGCGCATCCACCAGAGTAACTATAGAAGCCATGGATTCTTTTTTTTTTTTTTTTTTTTTTTAAAGATGACCGGTAAGGGGATCTCAACGCTTGGCTTGGTGTTGTCAACCCCACGCTCAGCCAGTGAGCCAACCGGCCATCCCTATATAGGATCCGAACCCGTGGCCTTGGTGTTATCAGCACCGCACTCTCCCGAGTGAGCCACGGGCTGGCCCGAAGCCATGGATTCTTGATACCAGAAAGATAAAAGAGTTACTAGAAATTCTTCTAGATTAGCCAAAGACACACACAAAAATGTAAAAGCAGGAGTAAGCCATGGATTCTTGATACCAGAAAGATAACAGAGTTACTAGAAATTCTTCTAGATTAGCCAAAGACACACACAAAAATGTAAAAGCAGGAGTCAGTTCGACCTGTCGCTGTAGGGTTTAGACAGAAGACAGCCTTCTGGGATCCAGATGTGTCCCGACCCTGGTGGTGCTGAGGAACTGTGCTTGCAGCCTGAGAAACCACATGCTACCAGACCTGCTCCAGCACACAAACTTAGGGGCCTCTGACATTTAAGGGCCCGTATAAGAACATTCAAGAACATCACACCCAGAGTTTCTTGCTAATCTGACTTCCCAATGGCGGGGCCATTTATGCTAAATGAAATGTTCCACTTGGCCTAGGAGAGGAAGAACAGAGCAGCCGGGAAAAGTCCTCATGCTGGTTCCTTCCTGAGAGGAGGGAAGCCTGGGATGGAGGCAGGGCCTCTCTGAGGTGATGCTCACGCTGGGGTGCTGAAGGGATCCCTCCCCACACTGTCTCCCTGGAGGCTGGGCCCCGATATGTGGAGAACAGAGGTGTGATAAATAACTGCAAATAAATAAATAGCTGCAAATTCCTTGGACCTCTTCCCCTCAAAGGGTGGGTCTGTTTCCTCTGCCCATGAATCAGAGCCTGCTGTGACCTCTATGAACAGTAAACCCGGCAGAAGTAAAGTTGGGCCTGTCCTTTCAGAGCACTGGAAGCTTCTGCTTTTGTTCTCCTGGAGTTCAGAGCTTCCATGTAGGAAGTCCTGCTCACCTGGTGGTTGGCAGAGCCACTTGGACAGGCCCTGAGACCACATAGGGAGGGTGAAAGACCCTGCCAACTTAGCCTTCTAGTCAACCCTGGCAAGGTACTAGGCATGGAAGTAAAGCCAACTTGGACCCTTTAACCAGCCCAACCCCAGCCAAAAACCACCCGATGACCCCATTGGTGCCGCATGGGCAGGTGAATTGGCCAACCAAGCCCTGCCCGAATTCCTGACCCATATTATATCATAAAATATAATAAAATTGTTGTTAAGCCACTAAGCTTAGTAGTTTGTCACAGGCAATAGATAGAAGGAAAGAGCGAACACCTCTCACTAAGTATCTCAAACAAGGGGCATGTCTCAGTCAGCAGGGCCGCTCGAACAGGTACCACGGGCTGGGGACTTAAACCACAGGTACTAATTTCTCACAGTTCTGAAGGCTGGAAGTCTGAGACCAAGGTGCTGGCAGATTTGGCACCTGGTGAAGTCTCTTCCTGATGCAGATGATTCTGTCTTGCTGGGTCCTCACAAGGTAGAAAGAGGGTGAGAGAGCTCTCTGGATCCTCTTTTATAAGGGTACCAAACTCAATCATGAGAGCTGCACCCTCGTGACCTAATTACCTCCTGAAGGCCCCACTTCCCAATACCATTTTTTTGAGGGGCTTGGATTTCAACCTGTGAATTTGGGGGGAGACACAAACATTCAGTCCATAACAGGGCCCCGGCGCTGGTGGTGTCCCCAAGCACCAAAAACAGTGCAGACCTTTTTCTACCTAATAGGTCTGGCATTTGTTTTCACAATAGCACTGCATGCAAATCTCAGAGGGAGCCTGGTGTGGTAGTCACAGCACAGGTGGGACAGATCCTGATTCCCGTAACTCTGGAAAGGTACCGTGGGAAGAAGGTACTCCTGGTTTGCCCTGTGAAACGAAACAAAAGCCTGAACACTTATGTGGTACAAGTCAAATAACGTGGGGCTAACCCCCTTCAGGATCTGGATCTAAGCCTTATTTCCCAGCTTCGCTGTACACTGGAATCACCCAAAGAGCTTTGAAAAATTACTGTTCTTTGGGCACCATTCTGTGAGGCCTGAGCATTGAGATTTTTTAAAGCTCCCCTAGGTGGTTCTAAAGTACGGCTCATTTTGAGCCCATTGACTGAGGAGCTACTAAAGGTGTCAAAAAGAAGAGTCCAGGAGGACTTGAAGTTAATTTTAAACAAACTATAATAGAGGTAGAACTTCAACCTCAGCCAACTCCAGGCTCAAACTGGAAATCCTTTGCCTGGGGCGGTGCAGCTGCCACCTCGCCTACCCGCCCCTCTCCTGACTTGAGAGCTCCTAGGACGGTTAATGGGGTCAGGCTCTCTTATGAGCTGAATGTGTCCCCCCAGAAAGATATGTAGGAGACATAACCCCTGGAACTTCGGAATGTAACCTTATTTGGAAATAGGGTGGTTGCAGATGTCACTAGTTAAGATGACATCATGCTGGAGTAGGGAGGACCCTAATCCAATATGACTGAAGTCCTCCTAAGATGTCCCTGGGAAGACTCAGAGACACAGGGGGAGAATGCCCCGTGATGAAGAAGGGCCGTAGTGATGGCTCTACAAGCCAAGGACCATTGCAGAGGACGGCTGCTGCCAGGAGCCAGGAAGGGGCAAGGAAGGGCTCCCCCACAGCTTTCAAGGGGAGCACAGCCCTGCTGATGCCCTGATGTTGGCACCTCGAGAACTGTGAGACAGCACGTTTCTGTTGTCTTAAGCCACCCAGTCTGTGGTGCTTTGTCACAGCAGCCCTAGGAAACTAATAATCTAATAATACAGCCTCTAAACTGGAGCACTGCTCTGGATGACAGTGTCAATTGCTGCCAGCTGTGCCTGCTCACCCGAGACAGACACTGGCCCTCTGCACTCGTTACGTAAAAGCTGCCTCATGCTCAGGAGGTGGCAGGCTAGAACGTGTGGCGTTAGCCAGGCACCTCAGAGACAGTTCCGGGTGCATCAAAACCTGCCATGCCCCTTCCCTTCTCTCCTCAAAACTTTGTCATTGCCTCACATCTGTTCAGGAGTGACAATGTGACAATTACAGAATAGGAAGTTAACTATATTAAAACAGCTTATCTGTAGAATCCCCTGCTGGGGATGGAGGGAGAGTAGAGGAGCCAGTAGTGGAAGGAAGTGCGGCTTTGTGTTGTTATAAACTCCATTTGTGATTTTTGCCAATGGGTTTTAACTCGCAGCTCTGGCGTGGCTCATCAGCGGCTGCCTGGTATTCCAGGGCAGTGCCCCACGGGCAGCCCACCACCCACACGTGTTATCAGCAATTGGGCTTTGGTGTCGTAAATGATCTGGAGTGGATGTGAGGCCCTAGAAGCCTAAGGGGGTACAAGGAGACGGTACCCTGAGCTTGGACACTGGCGTCTGAGGCTGGGCAGGCAGTGCGAGTCTGCTAGGGTGACTTCGCTGGCAGTGGGCACACAGAAGAGCTAGGCAGGAGGACGGGCAGTTTGCAGCCTTCCAGGTGTAACCGGGGCCACTTCAGAGTGTGGCGGGAACTGCTAATGTGTAAGTCAGGTGTACCAACTGCTGCTCTCTGCATACAGGTGTGAATTTGATGCTCAGAGACGTCATCTCCTAACCCAGCCAGGTGATATGCGGCCCTTGAAAACCTCAATTATCCTTAATAATGCGATATGACAATGCTCATTTGGGTGAAGAAGGCTGGGAAGATGAGGAACATCTGGTGCACAGTGTGAAGCCCAGCTGTGTATGAATCAGGGAATAAAAGGATCAAACGTTGCTCACCTCTGCGATTCACAGGGTCCTTAGCTACATATGCCACATAGTCTGTTGTGTCCTGTGAATAAAAAGGAGATGTCTGTGTCAGTAATCATAAGTTAGAGGCACAGCCAGGGACACAATGCACAAACCAGCAAGCTTATAAGAACTCAGCCATTCCACGGCTAAATAATCAAAAGCTGCCTAACAGCCTACGGAAGACAGCATTTCTGAAACTGTCACGTGGGCAGCAATCATCAATGATCTTGAGTCTGCAGGTCCATGCCCACACCTTGAGCAGCAAGAACAGAGGTGCCCACCTGTTCTCTGCATGTACGGTCATGTAAGGAGCTTTAAAAACACTGATACCTGAGTCCCAACACCCACATCATCTGACTTACCTGGTTTGGATGTGAGGCCTGGGCATCGGGAATTTTAAAAAGCTCTCAGATGATTGTAATGTGAACTAAAGCTGGGAACCACAGTCATCAGCTCTGTCTACACCAGGGGTCCTCAGATTTGAGCTGGTGTCAGAATCCCCTGCAGGCCTTGTTTAAACAAGTCACTGGGCCACACCCCCGAGTCAGTGTGTCTGGGATGTGGCTCCCAATCTGCATTTCTGACAAGTTTCCAGCTGCTGCTGGTCTGAGAATCACTAGTCTAGAAGGATACCAGAGTGGATGTTCAAAGGTTGGCTGCAAAAGCCCCCTCATGGGTAGATGAGATAAGATAGTTCTTTTCTTGTTGGACATTAAGTAATGACTTTAAAAAATATGAGCTGTATTTAAAAGTCTCACCCTTGTATATGAAAAATGAGTTTCCTTGCCTACATTTTCATTTAACCAGGGCATGGAAGAGAGTATGACCTCAACACTAGGCCAAGGCAACCACGTGCACTTTAGTTTCTAAACAAAGAATCGAAGGAACCAATCACTGTCTTCATTCTTGGAAGCAGAAAAGACTGCTCTGCAAAGTTATTCTCAACATTCAAAAAAGTCCCCAGGGTACAACTAGTAAAGGTCTACCCCACTGTTGTGGTTATTTCCCAAATGTTATTGCTTCAAAGGGCTCCCAGGTTATTGATCAGCTCCCGATGTTGTCAGCACCTGAAATGGTGCTGTCATGGTCCCTTCTATTGTCTTCTCTATGGGCAGAGGAGACATGTCCTTCTCTCTCAACAGCTCCAAGGAGAGAGCGGATGTGGGAGAGAGTGAGCATGGGGAGGGGACGTAACCGGTGTTGGGAACCCACTGTAGGGTGGTGGGGGGTGCTTGCCACTTTCCCATACATTATCTCCACAACACCCCAATATGACTACGTAGGGGAAGGAGAGTCTTCTAGCAACTTGTGAGATGATGGAGCTGTTACCACGGGATCATTCTCTAAGCGTGGCTCACCGAAGCCCTTTCCTTTTCCTGTTCAGGCCACCATTCATCGGTATCTTCACCAACTGACTAGGGAAGGGGAGAGGAAGACAGTTGAACTAGCCAAACTGGCTTGTGGTCAATTCCACCAAGGAAGATCTGGCCAGCCTCTGAAGCTACTGGCAAAAATAAGGATTGGAGCTGTGATCAAAGACACTCTTCATGGACTCATGAGATTCAGATGTTGGAAGGGCCCTCAGAGACCATGTAAGAGTAGCTTAGAGAGCACCAGTGTTTCTCAAACTGAGCTCCATGGAACCCTAGGGTATATCCTCCAGTGTTTGAGATGTCACCAGTATTTTAAAAAAATTTTTTTTACTTGCATTTCTATGATAATCTTAAAAATTAATACAAGAATATTTAGGATCATTTAGCTGACCACTGTGTCACCAAGTTCTGCATGCAATTTCAGTGCTAATGTTTGCAGTTGGATTTCCAATATTATGAACACCAGGTTTCTAAAGATTTAGAAAAGAACAGAGTAGATGCCTTTCTCCCACTTGAAGCACACCCCGATGCCACATTTATACATGAGGTACAACCGAAGTGTTTGCTTGAACAGAAGAAATTAGTGAAAGAATTGAACCACCTAGTTGCCCATGAGCTCAAAAGATTCTGCACCATGGTGGCCAGTCCAGCTTCACACTGGGAACAGAGATTTAGTTTCAGCAAACTTTGTCTATCATGGTGATCAATGTCACTTTGAGTGTTGCTGGCTTTACAGTATTTATTTGTATTTAACTTCCAAATTTGACTGGGGTTTAGAGTTCAATAGAAAGAACTCTAAAACGTAAGGAGTCTTTTCTTAATTTTTGTTCATATTCAGACAAAAAATTGGAGTCAGCACTAGTGGTATGTTCAAGGAATTTTTTTTTTTTTATTTCTTACTCTGGCCTAAGAGAGACTCTACTCTGGCTCAAAGTTGGGGAAGGAGGTCCAGTAAAGGGACAGGATGTGTCCCTGTCTCTTAGACAGTCAATGGCCAAGCCAGGACACAGCTTTTCTGATGCCAATATTGGTCCTTTTCTGGCACAGCAGGGGAGTACATTATTGTTCAAAATGTCCTTGACATCAGTTCTCAGTTACACACTAAGTTCCAAGGACGGGGCTGCAAAGCGTTCATTCTGACTCGTTTCATTCCTGTTCTCACTCCCAAAGACCTTCTGAGCCTGGTCATTGTTCTGGCATTCTTTTGATGGTCTTTTAACACTGCTAATAATGGCAGAGTGTGCCCCTTTTGGGAAGGGATTTAATAGTGTTTTTCAGTCTGTCTTATTTGACATTTCAAAATATCATTTTCCTACTGGGTAAACTGAGGCACGGAGCAATAACTGACATATACACTTGCAGAAGAATAGGACTAGAACCTAGAATTGTCAGTTTTATTAAAAGCATCTACCCATTGTAATGTGTTAAATTCGTTGTTACAAATCAATTTGGAATGGGACATCATGCACGATGTAATATGCATTTGGATGGGCTAAAATGGAAAATAACCAGGCTTTCTATCCCCTAGGATCGTGAAATTTTCTGTACCAGAAAAAAAAAAAATCACAGAAAATATAAAAGGTTATGAATTACTTTAAAGGTCACTGAACGTTTTCTTTTTTTTTTTTTTTTTCCTTTTTGTCTTTTTTCGTGACCGGTAACGGGATCGCAACCCTCGGTGTTGCGCCCGCACCGTGCTCAACCAGTGAGCGGACCGGTCTCTATATGGGATCCAAACCCTCGGTGGGAGCACCGCCACGCTCCCAAGCGCCGCACTCTACCAAGTGCGCCACTGGGCCGGCCCGAACGTTTTCTTTCTATTTTTTTTTTTTTAATGAAGAGGTGATGGGGAAATTTTTTTTAAAAAAAGTCATATTCCTGTATGCATCTTGGAGAATAAAATAATTTCAACAAAAACCAATGTATGTGGCTTTCCATGATCTTGGTGTTTGTATCTCCACTCATAATATATCATTAACACAAGGTTAAGAAAAGTTCCTGAAAGGAGCTGTTGATGCAGATGTACAAGACACCTGCCTTTTATTTTTCAAACTGGGTTACCTTCTCCATTTTAGAAGCCATGGTTCCAAGCACACATTTGGCAGGTAATTAACTAACCACTGCGAATTAAATAAAGCTAAAGGTAGACATAGGGAAAAGTCTAAACGTGTGTATAGGCGTAGCACGGGTAGAGAATAGGTAGACATTTACATATGGACATGATCTTAAGAAAACCTACATCTCAATGAGGGCTTTCATATTACAGTGAAACATTAGAAATTATAAGGATTAGAAAGGAAAGTCACAGGAAGGGAAGAGAAGGAAGAAAGGAAAGAAATCTTGTGGGAGACTTTTGAAAACAAGACCGTAAGTATATGAAAAAGGGCCAAGGCCTTTTGAACCTTCGGAATGCCATGGTTAGGCATTGCTCTTGCAGTACTTAGACAGGGAGGCAGAGGGATACAGGCACAGAACCACCTGCGGGGTGGGTAAATCCCTTCCCTGCTGAGTGCCCTGGGGCAAGGGTGTGAGATAGGGGTGCTGGAAGTCGGGGTGCCCAAGCCTCTAGCAGCAGCCTGCGCAGCACTGGCTGCAGCCGTGCCTGCGATGCCTGCCCCTGGTGGCCACCACAGCTGTGCAAGAAGAAGTATCACTTTCCTGTTGCTAAGAGATGGGGGGCCTAACTATAGTGTCCTTTGGAAACGTCGAAGCTCTAGAACCTGCAGCTGAAATTGCTCTCTATTTGGCTTCCAGTGTGCCACCCACAGTTCTACAATCAGGTTGTGGATCAGGTAGAAGGAGTACAGGACAGGTTGGAAGGTCATGGGAGAAAAGGAATAGTAAAATAACTTGCTGAATACTCAGGCTGCCTTGGACCAGCAACCTCCTATGTGAACTCTGAGGGTTGCCTGCCGATAATTGGCCAAATAATAAAAAAATAATAATAACAAAAATACTGCCTGTAAAGCCACTGTTTTATGTGAGAAGGCTATTTAACACCAGAAAAGTAAAAAGGACATCTTCTCAGGATATAGAACAATTTTAAAAACTGAATAAATTTAGCTCCAAGAAAAACTTACTCTATCATTCTGATTTTAAAATTTTTCCCTGGAGTGGTGAAAAATTGACCCAGACGAATGAAAATTAATGCGGTAACTCTCTGGGGCGAGCCTTTCTCCCCTTCACTGCTGGACAGGGCTGGCTTTGCTTCCCTCCCGACTCCCCCATGCCTTGCTGCCTCCCTCGTGACGGATTTCCTGCCTGGTTCCACTGCAGAGCTGGACAGTGACCAGCGAGCAGGTGGTTGGTGCAGGGACACGGCCCCGCCCAGGCAGCGTGAGGCCCGCCTTCATGACAGCACAGTGTAGAGGTGGCCGCACTGACGCTGAGTGCTGACATCAGACGGAAGCATTCTTCACCAAATGCAGGGAGCAAATTCTCTTGTTATTCCACCTCTGTCATTACAGAAGCAAAGCAAAACCAGAACCATTCCATTCTCCAGTCTCCCTCCTTCTCTCTCTCTCTGCTATTCCTTCCCTGATGGCAAAGCAAACCATTAAAAGACTATATAGTGTTACATTCAGAGAGAAAAATGCCCATTCTAAATGTGTATGAATAAACCAGACTAAGTAAGTTCACAGCCTTCGAGTAGACTTAAAATACAGAAGTGGAGGACCTGAGGGAGGTCCAACAGAAAAAAATAAAAATAAATAAGCAAGGCCGGCATGCACTGACCATGGGAGAAGACCCTGGAGAATCTGAAAACTGAGCAGCTATCTTGTCACCTCTTAAGAAGGCCAAGGCTTCCAAAATTTTTAACAGCTTTTGGCTAATGATATGAAAAATAAAGTTAGGTTTTTGTCACAGGTTACCCCTAAAAAAAAAAAAAAAAAAAAAAAAAAAAGCC